AGTTCCGGAGAGAAGGGCCAGGACAGAGCTCTGGGCACTCCAGATATATTGAGGCTGAATGTCTTTGTGCCTTTTCTCACGCTGTCCCTCTATTTCAGGATCCCTGCCTGACCCTTCATGGCCCTTTAAATGCTATCTCCTCCACAAAGCCCTGGAAGTGTACCAGCCCTGCTATCACCCCACCCCCTTGGCTTCTGTCTTTATTAACTGACCACTCTGACGTCCCCAGTTAAGGTGTGGGGTATGGGCCATGTCTGAGCAGCAACAGGGACCTGAAGAAGTCCTGGTGAAAGTTCCCTGAACTCAGCCTCTGACACCAGGGTGCGTGGGCAGCACACCTCCTCCCTGCTGAGGCCCCTCACCTTGTTATTGGCCAGGTACAGGTAATTGAGGTCGGTCAGATGCTCAAACGCCTCCTCGGGGAGCCCTTCAAAGGACAGGCATCAGTCAGAGCCCTGGATGAAGGAGACGCTACAGGGGAGCACACCAGCACCAGCCCCCAAGCCCACCCCACTTGCCAGGACTGGGAAGGGCGCGCCCCGAGGCCGGTGTGGCTCTGCTCTCATCCCAGCCAGTCCCAACAGGCCTTCCCAGCTCCTTGCCCACAGGGGCCCAAGCTCAGAGAAGCAGATGGGAAGTGTCTACTGAGGGATGAGCCACCGGGTGGGAATGGGTGCCCCCCCCGGAAGGTCAGGCCATGGGATGGAGGACCCAGACTAACATATTCCAAGTAAGGAAGGAGTGCTCCCTGGGGGCAGCCCCACAGGGTCAAAAGCAGGGCACGGCTTCAGCCTGGGAGCCTCCCCACCAACTGCCTGCCCCTGCCCCATGGAGTGTCAGGACTCCCCGTCACTGACTCCCCGTCACTGGGATCCCAGCCAGACTGGCCCTTCTCCAGTCCCGAGGCTCCCAGACCCTCAGATGCTGGGACTCACCCAATTATCTAACAAGAGGGAACAGTTACGTAAACTGTGCAGCATCCCTCCATGGAAGAGCTGCCGTGTAAAGATGACCACGGAGTTTTAGCAACAGGAGGAATGCTGCTGAGCTCACTGCTGAGTGAAACAAAGCACTTACCGTCGTCGTACTGCCTACACTCTACACTCAGCCAGGCGTGAGAAAATGCAAAGGAAAGAGACTGGACTGGATTGTGATGATGGTTGGGCAACTGGATAAATGACTAAGACTCATCAATTTGTACCTTTTAATTGGGTAAATCTTATGGTATACAAATTACACGTCAATAGAGCAGCTTTTTAAAAATGGAAAGAAGTATAGCAAAATGTCATTAGGGATGAACTCCAAGTGGCAGAACTGACTGGGGTTTTTTGTTTTCTATTTTATTTTCTTTATTTCCAAAATTTCCATTATAATAAAAATTATTTTCATCAGCAGCAAAAGAATCACTTCTTAAAACTTGAGGACTGTACAACTCTTTGATTCTAAAGTCCTTCTGTGACCCGAAGAGTCCACCACAAAGGTCTTTGAATCCTCTCCCGAGTCCACTCCCAGGTCCCAGACCCTCAGGGGTAGCTTTTAGGCAACATCTGGGACCCACTGCCGCCCAGCCCAGACCTGCTCTTTCCCACACCCGGGGTCCTCAGGGTGGGGCTCTCCCCTGCCTGGTGCCCTGCCCCGGCTCTGGGTGACCCCTCACCTCGGGACGTCAGGCGGTTGTTCTGAAGGTTCAGAGTCTCCAGGCGATGCAGCCGGGAGAGCTCCTCCGGGTAGATCTTCTCCAGCTGGTTGTTCTGGGGGTCAGGGGTGGGAGTGGTGAGGAGGCAGCACGGGGGGGGGCGGGCCCAACCCATCCTCAGCCCCTCTCTCTGTTGGGCACTTCTCTGGGGATTCTCCCCCACAGAAGACAGGCTCTGGGTGCTGTCTCTGGCTCTGATTGCAAGAGGCACAGCAGGGACCACAGCAAACATGGGGGTCCCACATTCTAGGAGACCACACATGGGTGTCCACGGGAGTTCAGACTTGTCCCACTGGGTGACAGCCCATTCTCCCACAGGCCCACTTTTGGTTCCCTTTCTGGGCTGCGTTCCCCACTCCCCTGGCAGCACTTTAAAACCTGGGGGTGGTACCATCTCCTCCAGAAGCCTTCCCGGTTTGGATTGGGAGTTAGAGTAGGAGCTGCTCTGGGCTCACACGAGTCCTTCTATCTCCTTCTAGCATCCTCTCTACTTGTTTCGTTTACTGCCTCCCCCACACCTGGTAGGGCCTCGGGCAGGGTACATCCGAGATCTCCCTATGTGCCCAGCACCCACACAGGACCAGAGGTGGAGAGCAGGTTTCCAGGAGACATTGTATGAATGGAGGAGTGCGTGAATGAGCCGAAAATAAGTGTGTCATCAGCTTGTCCCTTTCCCTCCCACCTCTGCCAGCCCAGGCCCACAGGGCTGTGTGGTGAGCGGGCCACTTTCCCTCACTGGACCTGATCTCCTCTGGAAATGGATGTACAGCCCCTTCCTCCCCCAGGGGTACCGGGCAGCACAGGGTGATGGGGTGCCCCAGCACTCCCAGTCCCCATCGGGAACTCCTTATCCCACTTCCTAGACCTCAGCTGGAGAGAACACTCTGTCCTCTGAGCCGCCAGAGCCCTCTATCAGGGTCCACTTTGCTCTTGTTTTCCTGGCCTGCAAGGGTGTTTGAGGGTCAGCTGCTGGGCAGGTCTGCGTCCATTTTCAGACAAGGCCTGACTCTATGTATGGGCCTCAGCCAAGACTCCTCCCAGAGAAACAAAGCAGGTTATGTCATGTGCTCGGTGACCCAGACAATGATCAGAGGGGGGACACCTCAACGTGGAGCTAGATCCTCGTGTCTGACCTGCTCTAGCACCCCAGGTCTGGGGGTGGGGAGCCAGGAGCACTGGGGGTTCTGGACAAGCAGGGAGCGTGAGTGTGGGGGTTCTGGGATAGGAGCCGTGAGTGTGGGGCAGCCGCTGGCGACAATTGGCACAGTGCCCATCTCACCTGCAGGGACAGGTGGTTGATATGCTCAGGCAGGTCCCCTGGGAACTCGCGCAGGTCGATGCCGCCACAGTCCACAACACCCTCCTGGGAGCAGGCACAATCTCGGGGGCAGTTGATGGTGGCTGGGCCAGGCCCCGGCTCCTCAGGCCTCAGGACCAGCACTGGCTCCTCCTCCACAAATTCGTTCTCTTCAGGGCTCAGGTTGTGGGCGCCGTTTCGGCCAAACACAGGGGCCCTCACCGCGAGCACCAGTCCTAGCTGCAGCTGTGGCGGCAACAGCAGCAGGAGCAGCAGCGCCCTGCTCCGGGCCATGGTGCCTGCAGGAGGGGCTGAGTCAGACCCACCTGGGAACCAGGGTTGACTTCACCTGTCAGGTACAGTAGGCACAGGGCTAGGGCCACAAACGTCCTCATGGGGCCCTTGGGGCCCGAGGCAGAGCCCACTCTGGATCCTGTCCTCAGCACGCATCTGATCTGGTGACTGCTGTTCCCACCCTCATCCCCCAAACCCCCCGTCAGGGCTGCCCTCGGGAGGGGTGGGGCTGAAGTGAAGGTCTGCCAAACCTCCCACAGCCCTCACCAGGCCTGGCCCAAAAGAATCTGCACCCTCCTCTACAGAAGGCCCAGGAAGCACTGTGCTGTGCAGGGCTTGGCCTGGGCTTTGCTGAGCTCTCCAACAGGCAGTGCTGGGAGGCCTGTCCTCCTGCAGCTGCCACAGGCCCTGGTGGGCCCGACCAGCAGGTGCCTCTCCGCTCTTCAGCTGGCCGTTCTAGGATCCTCAGATCTTGGCCTTGCCAGTCTGCCAACTCTCTACCCACCTGCCCCAAGAATACACATCTATTTAGTAGCTCCTGCCTCCAGGCCTTGTTCCTTTTTCCTGGAATGCCCTCCCCTCTCTTGTGCAATCAGCAAGCTCTCCAAGAACCAATTCCAGCACCGTGTCCCCTGGGAAGACTCTGAAATGCCCCAAGGCTCTCCATTACTGTGTCCTCCCCGCCCCCTTGGCATGAATTGGGTTGGGTTATAAATACATAATGGTGTCTTTCTCCCACAACAGGGTGAGTCTGGGTGGAAACCCAGGCAGCTGGGCGCAGAGTAAGCATCAGTGACTGGAGCTGCTGCCGCCTCTGGAACCTCCCAAGTCCCATTCCTGGTGTTGGACCCTCAGCTGCCCTCAGCAGGGCCTGCTGTGCTCACAGGACCACTACCACCTGCAGGAGACGACTCCCAGCATGGTCCCCTGGGGCAGCAGGGAGGGCACCTAGAGGATAGCTTCAAGCCATTGAGGAAGATGCTGGTTCCATTGTCCCAACAGCCCATGGGCGGGGCTGGCCCCAGGAGTCCTCTCACTCAGAAAACCTCTCTGGGGCGGGTGATCAGTTGTGAGGGGTGGTAGCTCCTGTACACTGATGGTGGAGTCCCACCCACCCTAGTTCAAGTCACCGTCCTCCACTTAACAGCTCTGACCTCGCTGAACCTCAGCTTCCTCGTCTTACAGTTAATCCACGTGAACTCACAGCTTCTGCGAGGAGTCCCTAAGTAACAGCCGCAAAGCACCTGGCATCTCTCAGGTGCTGTGCTGCTCTCCTCTGCAGCGAATACAAACACAGGTCTGCGGCAAGTATCTGGGCCTGGGCTACTGCTCCTCAGTCTGAGCCCTTAGTAGGGTCTGGCGAGATGATGGGCCTGGGAGGAAGCTTGATGAGGACACGGATGTCTGGTTACGAAGGTGGGCTCTGGAGCCAGACAGCCGGCTGCAAGCTCAGCCCCGGCTCTTACCAGCTGTGGGGCTGTGGGCGAGTGCTGTCACCCTCTAAACTCCAGCTCACTTACCTGTCCCCGAGCTGGTAACGGGATGTCCGAAGGGGAAGAGTGTGAGATTCAGTGGGATGAGCACACTGCACTCAGTAAGTGCTCAATAAATGTTAGCTCTTCCCACCATTAATATCTGATCTGTGGGCCTTGTTCGCGTATCAGCCACACCCTTGCCCACTCCAGAACCCCCTGCTTCTTACCCTTCCCTATTGTGCTTTGTGGTCCGGTTCTAGGCCCACTTCCTCCCAGGAGATTTGAAAGGCGTGAGGAGAGAAAAGAGGAGTGGCAATCAGGCTTGCTTGACCCTATAGGTCCCCAAGGCCTAAGCAGACTCGGGCCCCAGCCCTGGCCTGGCAGAGAACCAGGGAGCCCAGCACACCCAGAGTCCTAGGCTGCAGCCTGGCCCTATGCCCACCCTACCACGTACTTGCTGCCCCCGTCCCCTGACCAAATGGACAAGAGATCCTCAGCCAGTCTACAGACCGTCATTCCCTTGGCACAGTATAACCCCCAGCAAGCTCAACAGCCTTCAGTCCCTGGGTCCACCAGCATTAATCTGTCTGACTCTGCTCAGAACAGGACTCTGGGAGGGGGAGGGGAGCACAGGCTCAGGCCCCAAATTCAATCAGGGCAAAAGGCCAGGGCAAAGGAGTCCCTCCACGCATCCTGTGCACTCACGGACCAGCTATTTTTCTCCTTGGGTTTTGTGTCTGTATAGGTCTATAAACTGTATCTGTAAAAATACGTAATTCATGTTAACATTATGGGCCATATTGAAAATGTTATCATCACCGCTTTATAGATGAGGGAGCGGAGGCCCAGTGGGAGTGGCCAACGTAACACAGCTGTTAAATGGCAAAGCTGAGCTCCCAGCCCAGGTTTTAACCACGATGCGACGGTTAATGCAAAATACAGCTGGGCTCTGAGGACCAAGACACCCCACTCAGGGTCGGCTCTGCCCTTAAGAGGCTCACCCTTGCACTCATCCAATGTGGCTGCCACATGTGGCTACTGAGCTCTTCAAATGTGACTGGGTTACATTGAGAGGTGCTATATGTGTAAAATGTAGTGTACATGGGTTTCAAAGACATAGTACAAAAAATGTAAAATATCTTATTAATATTAATGGTCATAAAATAGCTCATTTACCTTTTTTCTTCCTTTTTTGTTTTTCCCCCCTCACCTGAGGATATTTTTAAATTTATTTTTAAAGAGAGAAGAAGGGAGAGAGAGACGTTGAGCTGTTGCCTCCCATACATGCCCTGATTGGGAATCAAATCCGAAACCTAGGTTTGGTCTCTGACTAGGAATCAAACCTGTGACTTTTGGTATATGGGATGATGCTCCAACCAACCCAGCCATCTGGCCAGGGCACTCATTTATTTTTTCATTGATGACATGATAATATTTTGGACCTACTGAGTTATTAAAATTAATTTTACCTGTTTCATTTTACTTTTTTACTGCGGCTTCTAGAAAATTGTACATTGCATATGTAGCTTGCATTTGTGGCTCACGCTATGTTTCTTTTAGACATTATGTGTAGATTGTGTGATGAAGGGAAGCTAAAGTCCATGGGAACCCAGAGGAGGCCTAACCCTGCCTGGGGCCAAGACGACTTCCCAGAAGAAGTGATGCCTCGTCGAGACATGAAGGAAGCGAGTATTAGATAAAAGGCAAAGGGTGATACAAGCAAGGGGGGCGCAGGCCCGGGGACAAGAGAGCCCAGGTTATGACCTCCAAAAAGCTCATCGTCTGGGAGAGGGCGGAGACTGGGCGTGATGCAAGTGGACAGTGGCCACGGTCCAGGTGAAGAAGGGACTTGAGAGCCGGATTAGGGAGAGTGGCCCGTATACTTGGGGAGAGGAGCGGTTGAAGAGGAGTGTGGTGTAGGCAGGCTTACGGACGGGCCGTGTGGAGCTTTCAGAGGCTGTGCAGTGGTGCAGGCAACAGCTGCTAAGCCTGATCTGGGCACCCAGGGAGGTGCTGGGCTGCAGGGACGGAGAGGGAGCTGGGTCTGAGGGAAAAGAACAGACAGTGCTTGAAGAGTGGTGACCCAAGTGCCACTCCTCCTCCTCCCGCTTGACCAGTCAGTCACCCTAGGACCTGGGAATCCTGGGCAACTCCAGCTCCACCACCCGGTTTGCTGTGTGGCCTTGGCTGCATCACGGACCCATCAGAGTCTCAGTTTTTGGTGCTGTTGTTCTAAGAATGTTAAGCAACCTAAGTCCCCAGGCCCCTCCTGGGTGCCCGGCCCTGTTGGAGCTGTGCGTGGAAGAAGAGAGAACAGACCCCTTGTCTGAGTGAAGAGTTCCCCTCACACCTCGGGAAACAGCTCACACCTTTGGGAACGCTCTGAGCTCCGTGTGGGCAATGGCAATGAACTCCTGAGGATGAACTGAAATGACATGCCCGGCTGGTGCTGGCACTCAGCAGCTGTGGCATCCACACCCGGGGTTATTGCTAGTGTACCTGGGACCCGCTGCCCCGCCACCCCAATTCTCAATGCTCTGAAGGGCTAAGTATGGGATTAAGGCAGGAAGAAGACAGAGGAGGAGGGTAGGTCCCCAAATCAGGAGACAGAGCCTCAACCCCCAGCACCACCTCCTCCTCCACTCCAATTCAGTAAAGACTCGCTGATCCACTGCTCTGCGCTGGGCCTCGAAAAGCTAGCTACAGCTCATCGACTCCCACAGAAATCCCAAGACTAAGAAACTGAGGTGCAAGGGGTGCCCATTGCTGCCGAACCCCAGCAGAGTCCTACTCGAACGCCCCTGATCTGGGAAGCTGCTCCTGCTCGCGTGGCTGGGTTAGGGAGTTCCACTCGGCTCCCACGGCACCCCTGGCCCACATGGAGCGGGTCTCAGGAAATGTTTGCTGAATAAAGAAATGAACTTGTGAAAGGCAGAGCTGGGAAAGGTCTGCAGCATTATCTGGTCTGATTCGCTCCGTTTACAGGCAAGACCGGGACTAGAATTGGTGTCTTCTGACTCCTGCCAAGAGCCTTGAGCTGGTCTTGACACCCGAGTACGAGTTTCCCAGGTGGAGAGGGGGGAAAGGCACTCGGGACAGGCGGAGGGGCTGCGCCA